CCGCAAAAATTAATTGTTTGGGTGTAATCTGCAACAAAATAAAAGGTTTGGAACCAGCGTTGCAATTTTTTCGAGTCAAAATTACTGTTGAAACGTTGACTGACGGTTTTATGGACGGAATTAAAGGGTTGGGACCGACGCAGCAACTACATATAAAGGTTTGGGACTTCGGCCGCAAAAATAAAAGGTTTGGGAGTAATCTGCAACAAAATGAAAAGTTTGGGACCACGGCTGCAATTTTCCCTTAAATTTGTTAAAAGCATTTGTTGGCATCTTACTTTTTCCCTAGTGGTGGTGTTATGATGCAAAGATAACCTGGAACAAAATGGTTCATCCGTCAAGACTGGATTCACAATTACAGTATTGTTGGTTTTTGTTGCGACACATAACCGAGAAAGTTGCATTTTATCGCATCTTGTACGTAAATCTTGTGCAATGTTAGCAGCAGATGCAATAAGCCTTCTGGTGTTCTAATAAATACCTATTTTTAATTGATAACAGTTTCTCATATCGATTTGATGCCCTAATGGCGACTAAATTACATGTTAAAAAACATAAGAAGAAACTATCCACTCTCTTTAAACATGAACAGAGGTGAGCTATAATAAAAGAAAAATGAAAATGAGACGCTGATGAGCGATATATTTCTGTCTCTAATATTTGCAAAATTAGCAAATAGCGTATGGTTCTAGGCAGCTAGAAGGTTGCCAGCCCGGCAGCATTGATAATGACCTCATACATAATTCAATGTAGAAAGAGCAGCCAGATTGAGAATAAACTTAGATTGATAATAATCTTATGCCATGCTCGATATATACTTTATGTAATATGGGGATCATAAAATCATATTTAGATTATTTTTCCAGCACCAGCATGTGTCTATCATTACATTGTAATACCAAATCGGTGACATGTTCCCTATAAGCCTGTAAAAACCATATATACAGGAGAAATATCAAAATAAATAAGGAAAAAAACACTTGATATTTCTTGGCAAAACTCAAGACTAGTTTGCCTTCTGTAACAATGTTTACCAGTTCAAGGGAAAGCAGTATTGAATACATTACAGCATCACTGCTTAGTTTGTTACGGATGTTTTTGCAGCAAGATGGGTAAGTGCACGCTTATGGTACGTATAGTGCAACTTCTTGTATTTTTGTACGAAAGACGTAAGATCAATCTCCCTATCGAGAAGCTTCCTGTGGAGGGCCTCAGATTCCTCTTCTGTTTCATTCATTGCCTCTGAAATAATAATAAATTATATAAAAATTATCTAGTCTTAAGTTCAAAGAAACCCTTTCTGAGCAAATGACTCAAGTAATAAAAAACCATATTATGAATAACAGGTTTATGCATCTAAACTTTCTAGTAAAACCAAGTTCTAGCTGGAGATTATGCAATCTAGAGTTTACAAAGCAGGTTCGCTTCTGAAGAACTTGTTTGGACAATTTATCAGAAAACGGAGAATAATTTTAACAGAATTAAGAAAGGAATAGCTAGTACAGGCACTATGCACGAACATAGTATACCAATCAACGAATTATGAAGGCAAAAAGTAAGTCGATGTATCTTTACAGTGGTAATAGATAGGTTTCATGAAAGACTGACTGTCAAGTGATAGTCACGAGTTCATGAAAGGTTCCAGAATGTTTATGGAAATACCGTGTTCAATGGACTTCTTTCATAAATATTTCGTGGTGCTTGGTAGCTAACAGAAGGCTAGAGATGGATTACTGAAAGTCGATGGAGAATGCATAACCCGTTTCAGAGCTAGACAGGTCGTAAGATTTGCATCTTTGCTTATCATAAACTGGAATATGAGTGAGCTCTGTATATATGCGCAAAACACAAATATCCCCAGCAATGGACAAATGATCGGGTGCCATGTCTGCGATCCCTATGATCTTTTTTGCTGCTTTTTAGCAGGAAGAAAAAAAAATCATATTTTTTTAAATGCCAAAAGCAAATCAGTAATCTCAGCGTGCTAAACTACCATATGGCGAAATTTCAAACTGAAAATGCAATTTAACCTAACATCATCATCTTATCATCAGAAAGCAGAATTTAATAAAATTCACACTTCTAATTTACCTTGAAGTCGATGGAGGAAGGAAGACGGGGAATAAAATTTCAGTATCTCCTCTTTTTCTCTCTCTAAGTCATACAACTTCTCTTGGACAGTAGCCAGCTCAGTTGAGCGGATGATTCTGCACTGCACCAACAAAAGAAGTGTAAAAAGTGTTAAAAAGTTGGATAAAAGTTCAGGAACTAGGGAAAATTGAGTGCAGATGAAGACGAGACCTGATTCCTGAGCTCCATTATTCGTGGTTCTTTTTCCAGATTCGCTCCTACAAAAGGTTATCATTTGTAATCGATATGCTACAATTGTACATAGAACTAGAAAGTGAAGTGAATTATAAACTTACTAGTAAGTTTCAGTGTTTCGTTCCGAAGTTCATCTCTCACCTATTAAGTAATTTACAAATGGAGAATGTGTCAGGAGTAACACAAAAATCAATTTAGGCAACAAGTAACAGCATGGACTAAATGGATGGAAATCACGACGTAGAACATGGGGATTTAAAGCAATCTAGTTTGCAAGTGCAAAGGTAAGTCCTACTTTTTTTTCTTCAGTAAGAATTAGAAACAATATTTTTTCCTTGTACAGGGTACTTTTAACATACATCTAACATGAAAAAAGGCCAAATGCAATGAAGAACAAAAATCAATGTGAAGACTTCCAGCTGACAAATTTTCATCAGCATTTCCAATATTTTTACACTTATAATACATCATCAACTCCAGTTACACATACCTTACATTGCATACAAGAAGCAAACCTGATGTATCCCAGTGAATAAAAAACAGGCATTTCTTAAAATATATGTTAGTTTTAACGTTCGGAAAAATGGTCACTCGGTAAAATGTCAGATACTACTTAAAATTTTACTGAAAAAATTAATTAATAATCAATATATTAAATTGGTTTAGCAGTTATTAGTTTAAGAAGTACATTATTTAACTGATGCAATTAAAATTTATGCTGTTCTAAACTTATTAATACTATTTGTAGAAAAAAAATTATTTAAATTGTAACATATATAATCATATTTAGTATACAGATTTATTTATCAATATCTATTTTATATTCAGATTTAAATTTTTAATTTATTAATTTAAGTTCTTATTACTTA